TGTGAATGGGTAAGACTAATCCCCGGGCACTCTGGCAGGGCAAGCCCACAGTGTAGGGGTGGTCGGGTAGGGTAGGGTCGGGTAAGGTAGGCCTAAGTTGAACCCTGACCCTAACCCTAACCGGTAACCCTATCCCTAACCCTAACCCTAACCCTAACCTAAACCCTAACCCTAACCATACCCTACCCGACCACCCCTACATTGTGGGCTCGCCCTGCCAGAGTGCCCGGGGATTAGTCTTTTCCATTGTGAATGTTACATCACCCAACAAACATGATAGGCCTATATAGACCAATAAATTGTGCCCTAAAAAATTTTATATTCTGATGTTATTTTATTATATTCTTATGTTATTCCTAAAATAACATCAGAATATAAAAAATTTTAGGGCACAATTTATTGCCAATATTGGTCTAACTCTAAGGCCTATACAGTATACGGATTACTGTATATACTAATTACTATATCATAATTCATATATCATATGCTATACACAAATCACAATCAACAATGACAATAATGTCAATGATTGCGGTCGCTCTGTGAAAATAATATACTACAAAAACTGTGTGCGTCAGCCCCATACTTACTATTTATTTTGGTTTTCCGCCGGGTGTTATTTAACGGGCATACGATCGCAGAAATTTATAAATCATACAACATGAGATGATGAGATGAGATCACTCAGTCAGTCCGAGCATAGTCCGATGGTACGCCGTGAGTCACACAAGTCACACGTGTGCCGGCCGATGACAGCGCCATCTCGGCTCCGCTACCGTAACGGAAATAGGGGCGGATGTGGGGTCTTACCGTTAGGCATGATGGGATAGAAACAAAATGGTTTGTCATGCTAGTTCGTGTTGTTGTTACCATAACAAATAAAAATTCCTGTGAAAATATTCCGCGCTCGATTTCTTATAGCCACGCAGTAATTTCAACTGTGTCGCAATGGATGAAGATGTGATTAAACGAACTCAAGACACGTTGGGAAAAATTGTCAAGAAACCTCCAATGACGGACAAATTGCTGAGCAAACCTCCGTTTCGCTTCTTGCACGATATATTAACTGCGGTAGGAAAACCAAATACCAATAATCAAGAATTGTTTGATAATCTCTAGCCTAGTTGAGCAGAGTCACCATAATTAATTAACTCAATTACTTGATCCCTTTCATTTATAAATTCATCACCCCCAAAAGCTGCAGGTGCTGGCATAGATTAGATACAATAATGTAACCCAAACCCAAGAGGATAGGGTTACAAATCCTCCCTATCCTTTTGTGCGGAGGAATGCCCGAGTGAATCACTCGGGCCGGTTTGCTGGTGCGTTTTCAGAGACTAGAACTTCCAAACTGGGTTTATTCTCAACACGAACCTTTCTCCGCTATCCGGGAACTTACTATGTATCGCAATACTCTGTATTAAACTAATATAACCTGTTACAAAAATTCGAAATGACGAGCGGCGGATATTTTGAGCGCCATTTCTGTTGACCTGTGACGTACGCATTCCCTATGCACATAGCGTTCGGCTAACTTCGACTCCAAGATCGAATGTATCATGGGATGCCTGCTGTCAGTCGTGACGTCATGACGAAGTTAGCCGAACGCTATGGTGGGGTCTGGGGTCTTTTAAAAAAAATTTGGAAATTAGACTCCCTTAGATGCGTTTTCTGCGCGAGCAGGGTGGGGGGTCCGGACCCCCTGGACCCCCCCTGTACACGCCCCTGGTGTGATGATGGAATCATGACCAATCCTCAGTCTAAAGTGAAATCCAAAACGAAAATTGGGATGTCATGTCATGGCCGTACCGAAACTTTAGCTATTACTTTAGCTATACTTTCGCTGATTTCCAAGGTACACGTACATGTATGTACGTCGTACACTGACACCATATCGCGCGCGGTCACCATCAGTGGCGTAGTCAGGATTTTTTAACAGGGACCCAAAAACAGCGAGCTGCGCAAAAGATTGGAATTTTAATGGTTCCTCCGCTTCCCTCTCCACACCCTACGCTCCCCCCATCTCTCAGCTCTGCAGTCTTTGTTTTGGGCGCCGTGCAAAAGATGATATTTTTGTTCGTTGTTCTTTGCTCCAAAGATATGTAACTGTTCATGATCAGTGGCAGATCCAGGATTTCAAGGAGGGGGTGAAAAACAGGCGGGTGGTATGGGGGTTCTCCCGCAGAAAATTTTGAAAATGTAGATCGCAGGAGATGGTATTTGAGGCACTTTTGAGTACATGTACAGCCTTCATTCTGACTACGACAATTCTCTTTTAGTAGAACAATTCTTATTTTTAATTTTTAGCTCATCTGACATAGTCAGATGCAGCTTGTAGAATCGCATGATCGTCCGTCCGTCCGTCCGTGCGAGCGTCCGTCCGTCCGTCCGTCAACAGTTGGGCACAAATCTAAACGGCTCGACGTACGGTCACGTGGGGGTAATCCGAAAACGAGTTGGGATGTCGAAGCTGG